CAGTAAATATGATAAAAGAATAATGTCTCTGATCTAGGATGACAAATATAATAAACTGGCATAAAGACTATAAATTTAACTGATTCTTAAGACAGCACTGGTTTTCATTGGTGCGTCACATAGGGCAGGTCAAATGATAATATACTCTTTAGGCATAATAGTATGCATAGAAATTTTTGAATCAAATCTTTGGGGTTTATAATAGATAGTGTTTCTCTGATTGATGTTTAATCTTGATTCGATTAATCGTGTAGGCAAGCACCTCTATAGTAATGGATATAGCTAGATATATTCATAACTAGCTAACAATGAGCAGGAATCACACGGCATTTCAAAAAAGAGCATACAATAGTTACCTTTTTAGACATTTCGAAAGCTTTTGCACAAAGTAATGGATTAATAGTTGCAACTTAAAGAATAGGTACCCCTAGGCTATTTATTAATTACCATTAATAGTTTCGTCGCAGATGACGAACATTTTAGTCACGGTTAATAATCACGCACCTATCCCCGCAGAATTAATAGCTGGATTACCTCAAGGCTCAACTGTCCCCAACTCGTAACTTTCAACATATACAAGCCGGACTTCCCATAACATCACACACGACACATCGCCCAAGTTCAGCCTAATGGATGAACAAGACAATTTTCTGTCTAATCATTATCACTATCAAAATCTGTAAACACAATTCAACACTTTTAAATAAAATTGATGTATGGCGTGTCAGATGGAAAATAGAACTAAATCCTTGAAACAAATATGCGCACAAATTTTCTCATTAAGAACATTTTCAAACCACCAACACCACTCGAAATATACATAACCTAGTATTCATGGATCTTACACAATGATCATAGGTTAAATACTTAGGGCTTGAATTCTGATACCAGACTAATTTTGGGAAAAAGTACACATAAACAGTTAAAAGCACAAGAGCAAAATAAAATTAATTCTACTAAGCCCTCTTAATCGCATGTGAAGGCTCTATTAAAGTCAATGTCATCGACGCATCTATAAAATCAAATAATTAGACCCCTAATGCTTTATGCATGCTCTATCTGGATCAAATGGCTCAAATTAAAACTAATATTAATAATTACAGTAATCCAAAATAATTTCTCAACAGGCTTGCCGTACTTCTCATGACACTGTTTCATCTCAAACATTAACTGCGAAAGATTTAAATATTACCTCCTATAACTAATTACCTACGCTCTCCTATCTAACATTTATCATCCCAAACTAAACACAATACCAAGCACCCACACGCGCTAGCCAACCTCTATCCATCTCGCAACAGGAATCAAGAAATAGATACTCATTAGATTTCATTCCTTAGCATTTTTCAGAAGTCATTAATCACATAGGGTGCTTAGGTGAGTATTCCTATTCATACGATGTAGTTAGATTTTAGTTGTGAGATTAGCATTTAAGTTAAATATAAAGTCATAAAAAACATATGAACTGTGTTATAATAAACTGAACTATGTATATGATTCATGATAATAATAAAGCTATATTT